GGGGGAGAGAGAACACATCGATTGGTTATCTCCTGAATGGGCTCCACGGGCCGGGGATTGAGCCTCCAACCGAGGTACACACCCTTGGCCGGAAATCAAACCCGTGACCCAACACTTTAACCACTGAGCCAAACTGACCAGGGCTGGGTTTTTTTTTTCTCTCATTTCTCTGTCTTTCCAATACTTTAATATAAATGAGTTCTGTTACTAGAAACTAAGGAATCCCATCTATTACAACATATATTTGTTCAGTAATTTACTCTTTGAACAAATATTCAATAGGTATGTCCAATGTACAAAGTATCTTCTTGAAGGCAGAAATGAAATCATATTTCACACGAAGCCAAGAAAACATCCCTCCTCCTATATTCTCATAGTTTTTACCTACCTCTTTTCTGGCATTTTTCACATCCTAATTTGTGAGGATTCTTTCTGCATGCATATCCCCGCCCCCGTCTTTTTAGACAAAATAAAAGCAGGGACTATATCCAATACAAATCTGTATGCTTTTAAAGAAAAGTATATGTTTTTATTTATTTCAGAGAGAGGAAGGGAGGGGAGAGAGAGAAACGTCCATGAGAAACATGGATCAGCTGCCTCCTGCACGCCCCCTGCTGGGGACTGAGCCCCAGAGCGGGGCATGTGCCCTGACCAAAAACCAGTCAGTGCCCTTCTGGTGCAGGGGACCTGCCTAACCAACCCAGACACACCCGCGGGGCCAAATTTGTGTGCTTTAAAAGTACCAAGCATATAGAAAGAACACAGTAAACACAAATGTAACGGACAAGTGTTAGTTCCTTAATAGGTTAATTCATCTTTAGTTTTCCTGGAGCGGCTTCTTCCACCTGATATTTTTAGCTTGGGGAATAATTCATCAGTAAGTGTATCAACACTCGGATAACGTAGCCGTCAATAAACCTGTCTCTTCAGTGGGCTGGGGCAGGGTAGTTCTCCCTCCGCCCGAGTCTCAGGAAAGCGAGTCTCTGAAGAAGAATGAGTTTAGCAAGGGGTACTATGCACCCGGTAATAAAACAATGACCGACATTTATTGAATTTTTCTCGTATGCCAGATATTGTGGTACCCCTGTATGTGGATTATCTCTTTGAACCCTCTGAGGCATGCTGCTTTTTCAAAGAAGGGAAGGAAGCCCTGAAAGACTATGTTACTTGTACAGTGTCTTACAGGTAGTGAACAGCGGCGCCATTTCAACCGAGGTAAACAGAGAGGGTCAAGTTAAGGATGTATTAACAGTCTGATAAACACTCCACGTCATAAGCACAATACTGCAACACACAGAATCTTCTTTCTACTTCGCCCTTCTTCTCACGAGACATTTCCGACACTAACACCCATGAAAGGACGGGTACTAGTTCCAAATCGATATTCACCAAATTCAAAGATGTTCCTGGGAGGCCAGGAAGGCACGTGAAGAACAGAATTCAGTGCGGTGCAGAGGGCAGGTGCAGGCGCTGGAGCTCTGCAGACAAGGGTCAATACTCCCCGAGTTTCTTATTAGCTGTGGGACCTTGGGCAAGTCATTTTATCTGAGCCTCAGCCTTAGCTCTAAATAAGGAAGCTTAAATGCCTACTGTGGAAAGCCTACTTGAAAACCCTGCGGGGAACGTGGGTAGGGGACAGACACACAGTGGGTGTCGTTAGGGCAGCTACGCGCCGCACTCCAGGGGCGGGAATGCGGAGGTCGGGACAGCGCGCAGCC